CCTGCCCATCTGTTCCCTGAGGGAGTCAAAGTCTGCTCTTCTGAAGTCCAGGGTCCGTATTCTGCTGCTCTCCTTTCTTCCTTGTGTCAGGATCCTGGTTGGTTTGACATGATTTTTCTTGACAAAGCCATGTTGACTCTTACTTACCACCTTATTATCTTCTAGGTGCTTACAAATTGATTGTTTATTTGCTCCATTATGTTTCTGTGTACCAAAGTTAAGCTGACTGGTCTATAATTCTGTTTGTCCTTATTCCCCTTTTTATAGATAGGTACTATATTTGACTTTTTCCAGCCCTCTGGGATCTCTCCCATCCTCCACAAGTTCTCAAAGATCGCTAACGGTTCAGAGATCTCTTCAGACAGTTCCTTAAGTATTCTAGGATGTATTTCATCAGGCCTTGCTAACTTGAAGACATCTAACTTGTCCAAGGCCTTGTCTACACTACAGAATTTTGTTGACACAAGTTATGCCAACGATCAAAAACCACTATAATTACATCCCTTTTGCATGTTCACACAATGCTTCTTCTGTCGGTGGAGCACATCCATAGTTGGTGCTCTAGCATTGACAGTGAGAGCAGTGTGCCATGGATAGCTATCCCACTGTGCTACTCGCCACCTTCTGCATCTAGAAGTTTTGGGAAGGCCAAGTGGATCACAGTTGAAGTTCCCTCTAAGCTGCGCGGCCACGCAGCAGGCTATCAAGGGCCGCATGGGCAGGGGAGAGGTGCCTCTCCCCTGGCCCCAGCCTGGAGTTGCCATGGCCAGAGAGAGGCGACTCTTCCCCAGCCCCAGAGCTGCCGTGGCCGGGGAGAGGCACCTCTCCCCTGGCCCCGGGCTGCTGCAGCAAGAGAGGACTGGGGGGAGTCCTCTCTCCCCGCTGCACCCCCAGGGCAGCCTGCACCCCCGGGGCAGCCTGCACCCCAAACCCTTCATCCCTTGCCCTACCCCAGAGCCTGCACCCCCAGCTGGAGCACCCCCCCACCCCAACCCTCTACCCTAGTCCTGAGCCCCTTCCCCCACCCTGAACCCCCTTATCCCTGGCCCCACCCCAGAGCCCTCACCCCCCAGCCAGCGCCCTCACCACCCCACACCCCAACCTTCTGCCCTAGCCCTGAACCCCTTCCTGCACCCCAAACCCCTCAGCCCCACCCCCACCACACATCACCTTCATATTGGTGCACATAACAAAATTGATTCTGCACATGGATG